ATTCTGCTTGGTATTCTTTGATTTTCTTGGGTTTATGGTTTAGTATCTACCATTAATCTGTAAAATTATTGGCCATTATTTCTGCAAATATTTTTCTGTCTCCATTCTCTTTCCTCTCTTTTTGGTATTCCAGTTACACTTATGTCACACATTTTAAAAATTGTCCCTCAGTTCTTGGATCTTCTGTTTTGTTTTTCTCATTCTTTTCCCTTTCAATTTCAGTTTGGGAAGATTCTATTGGCATATTTTCATGCTCACTAATTCTTTTCTCAGCCATGTCAAGCCTATTGATGCCCACAGGAAGACATTCTTTATTTCTGTGATGGTGTTTGTTTCCAGAATTTTCTTTGGATTCTTTCTTAGGGTTTCTGTCTCTCTACTTGCATTACCTATTTATTCTGGCATACTTTCCCATTTGAACCCTTTGCATATTAATCTTAGTTATTTTAAATCCCATCTGATAATTTCAACATCTATGTATCTGAATTTGATTCTAATGATCATTTTGTCTCTTCAAATGGCTTGTATTTTGCCTTTAGTATACCTTGTAATTATTTTTTTAGTTTTACAATTTTTTAATTTTTATTTTATTTCTTATATATGACAACAGAATGCATTACAATTCATATTACACATATAGAGCACATTTTTCATATTTCTGGTTGTATACAAAGAAGAGTCACACCATTGTGTCTTCATACATATACTTAAGGTAATGATGTCCATCTCATTCCACCGTCTTTCCTATTCCCATACCTCCCTTTTGCCCTATCAGAGTTCATCTGATCTTCCCAAGCACCCTGCCCCAACCACATTATGAATCAGCATCCTTAAATCAGAGAAAACATTCATCATTTGTTTTTTGGGGATTGGCTAACTTCACTTAGCATTATCTTCTCCAACTTCATCCATTTACCTGCATTTGCAGGTAAATGATTTTATTCTCTTATAATGCTTACAATTACAAGGTATACTAAAGGCAAAATACACACAATGGAATAATATTCCATTGCGTATATATGCCACATTTTCTTTATCCATTCATGTACCAAAGGGCATCTACGTTGGTTCCAAAGTTTAACTATTGTGAATTGTGCTGCTGTAAACATTGATGTGGCTGTGCCCCTGTAGTATGCTGTTTTTAAGTCCTTTGGGTATAGACTGAGGAGTGGTATAGCTGGGTCAAATGGTGGTTCCATTCCCAGTTTTCCAAGGAATCTCCATATTGCTTTCCATATTGGTTGCACCAATTTGCAGTCCCACCAGCAATATATGAATCTGCCTTTTCCCCCCACATCTTCACCAACACTTATTGTTTGTATTCTTAATACAAACATTCTGACTGAATTGAGATGAAATCTTAGAGTAGTTTTGATTTGCATTTCTCTAATTGCTAGAGATGTTTAACTTTTTTTAATTGAAAGTTGGATAATAGGAATGGAGGGTAAGTAGGCTTTAGTGTGAGAATTTGTTTAAATCTGCTAGGATTTAGACTGTGTTTAGAATCCATCACTTTAAATGTTTTCTCATCATTGATAATCCCCTTTTCTTATTTCTCTTCTTCCTGAAGAATTCCCTTTAACATTTCTTTAAGAGCTTGTCTGCTGAAATGCAGTCTCTTTTCTTAATTTGAGAGTGTCCTTTTTAAAAAAAATTTGTCTTTACTTATAGGTTGACACAATACCTTTATTTTATTTTTATGTGGTGCTGAGGATCGAACCCAGTGCCTCACACATATTAGGGAAGTGCTCTAATACTGAGCTACAACCCCAGCCCTTGAGAGAGTCTTTATATCACCATTATTCTGGTAGGTGTTAGAGTCTGTAAACAAGTCAAAATAACACTTGGCATTTTGCCAGAGAAATGTTTTAGAGTCTGTAAACAAGTCTGGATGGCGCCTGGCAAAATGCCAGAGGGAGTGGTTTGTGAAGTAACAAAAGCCAGCCATTAAGTGTGGAGATTTCTTATTGGTTGACTGATGTATCTAGTTTATGCTAATTAAGATAAGCTCTGTGGAATGTATAAATACCTCTGTTGTCCTACAATAAGGCTCCCACTCCTGCTGTATCAATGTTCACAAGTTGTTCGTCCCCCCCCCCCCCCCCCCCCAGTTATTTTGCTGCAGCCGGACTGCGGCAGGTAGGATATTTTTGCTGGACATATAATTCTAGGTGACAGTTCTTTAAGCATTTTAAAGACGTTGGTCTATGGTCTTCATGGTTTCTTTTCTTTTTTTGGTGCTGGGGATGGAACCCAGGGCCTCATATCTGCTGGGCAAGTGCTCTGTCACTGAGCTACACCCTTAGGCCAGCTTTTCATGCTTTTCTGATGAAACGTCCACACTCATTTAAATAATTTCTCTGCAAGTAATGCTTCACTTTTCTCTGTCTATTTTTAAGATTTTTTTCTTTCTTTGCAATTCAATAGTTTTATGAAAATTTATCTGGGCATTATTAAAATTTATCTGGGCATAGTTTTGTTTGTGTATATCCTTTTTGGTGTTGGTCTAGATTCTTAATCCTGTAAATTTAAACCTTTTATCAAATTTGGGAAGTTGTTACCCTTCCCCTCCCTCCCCCCCTTCCTTCCTTCCTTTCTTCCTCTCTCTCTCCTCAGCATCCCAACTCCCTCTCTATCTTTCTTAGTAGGGATCAAACCCAGGGTTACTTTACCACAGAGCTACATCCCATTCCCAGCCTTTTTTTTTTTTTTAAACTTTTACATTTTGAGACAGAATCTTGCTAAGTTGTTTAGGGCCTTGCTAAATTGTTGAGGCTAGCCTCAAACTTGGAATCCTCCTGAGTCATTGGGATTACAGGTGTTTGTCACCACACCCAGCTACCCATTATTTCTTCAAATCATTTTTCAGCACTAAGTTTTTTCTCCTTTCCATCTAGGTCTCCAACAAAATGGATGTTAGTCCATTTGATATTGTTCCACAGTTCACTGAAGCTGTTTATTTTATTTTTTCTAACATTTTATTTCTGTTTTTTAGATTAGCTAATTTCTATTATTCTGTATTGAAGTTTACTCACTAATTTATCTATCATGTCTGTTCTCCTAAGGAGCCTGTCGGTAAATTCTAAATTTCATATATTGTATTTTCACTATTAAAATTTCTATTCATTCTTTTAAAATTTAGTTTTTATTTCTCTGCTGAGAATGTGTATCGTTCATTAATTTAAAAAGAGTTCGCCTTTACCTCATGGATGATGGTTATAATAACCATTGAAATCTTTGCTATTTCTAATATCAAGATTTTTTTAAAAAAAGAGAGGGGGGGAATTTTATTATTTATTTTTTAGTTTTCGGCGGACACAACATCTTTGTTTGTATGTGGTGCTGAGGATTGAACCCGGGCCGCACGCATGCCAGGCGAGCGCACTACCACTTGAGCCACATCCCCAGCCCTAATATCAAGATTTCTTGGAGAGCCCAGTTAGGTGGCACATGCTTATAATCCCAGAAACTCAGGAGGCTGAGGCAGGAGGATTGCACAGTCAAGGTCAGCCTCAGCAATTTAGCAAGGCCCTAAGCAACTTAGGGAGACCCTGTCTCAAAAAAAAAATTTATCCATGTCACTTATCATTACTTCTTTTTTCATTGCTCAATAGTATTTCATTTTATGAATATACCACAATTTGTCCATTCTTCTGTTTATAGATATTTGACTTATTTCCAGTTTTTGGCTATTATGAATACAATGCTAAGAGCGGTCCTATACAAACCTTTTTGCAAATCTTTGTTTTCATTTTCCTCTTTCTTTCTTTTCTGTTCTTTTGTTTGTTTGTTTGTTTACCACTGAGCTACCCCTAGTCCCTTTTTATTTTTTATTTTGAGACAGGGTCTTGCTAAATTATTGAAGCTGACTTTGAACTTGTTATTCTCCTGCCTTAGCCCATAGAATTGCTGGCCATTACCCACAGAGGTTTTTGTTTCTCTTGAATAAATATCTAGGAGTTGAATTGCTGATGTAGGTGTAGGTTTGTGTTTAATCTTCAAAGAAATAACCAAATCAATTTCCATATTGGAAGTACCATAAAAATTACCTGAGAATTTCATTTGCACTACATTTTTGCCAATATTTGCTATTTTTTCCCTGTCATTTTAGCCATCATAATGGATGTGGAATGGTTTAAATCTTATCTTTCCCTAATGACTAATGATGTTGAGCAACTTTTCATTTGTATAATGACCATTTGGATATTTTCATTTATGAAGTATTGGTTTAAGTCTTTTGTCCACTTTTATTGGTTGCTTATCTTTTTCTTTTTGAGTTTAGAAGTTCTTATATTCTGAATATAAGTCCTTTGCTGCCGCAGTCTGGCTGGGCACAAAATCACGAGCCACTCAAGCAGGAACAAACTTTATTTTTGAAACTGCTGCCAATGCCCCTTACGCTCCCGGGAAGATTGCCGACTGACCCACGCGGACCCCAACAGGAAGTCCCTCCTTCAGAATTCCCTCCTACCGCACTTCCCCAACCAATGGGAACTCTCCAGGAGTCCCATAGCAGGCCGAGGTGGACAGCAGGAGTCCAATATCCATATGAATGCAGATCTTAACATAATCATATCATCTCAATGGCTTGCTGGCGTCACCTTTCGACCAAAAATGCCATGCATCATATTACTTGGTTGTGGCTCTTAGCACTTTGCCATTATAAGGTCTTGCTTAGCATCTGAACGGTCATCTTAAGTGACAGCTGCCATTTTAAGGAAAAAGTTTTGCTTTCTCAGCATTTCTGAGAAAGACTCACCAATCCTTCATACCAACCCAGCTCTGATTCCTGAGTCTGCCCTATAAAAGCCTGGGAACTCAAGCCTGTTTTGCCTCTCTCCACTATAGAGAGATGGCCTTTATTTGTCCTTTCTGGCTTACCTGTCTCTTGTTCCTCGCTTTCCCTTCAGCCAGACATATGGATTGTAAATATTTTTTCCCCAACCTGTAGTTTAAGTGATTTTTTTGATGAACAAAAGGTTTTAATTTGGACAATGTCCAATTGATCAATATTTTATAATTAGTTTTTTTTTTTTAAATAATTAGCATTCTGTGTCTTGATTAAGGAATTTTCATCAACTTCAGGGACACAGAATAATTCTCATAGAATTTCTTCTAGAAGTTTTACAGTTTTATTTTTTGTTTAGGTCCATGATCCATCTTGAATTAATTTTTTTTGGTCTATGGTGTTCAATAAGGGTCAAAATTTTTTTAAGATCAAAAACTGCATTTTCTTTCTACATTGAATTATCCTGGTACGCTTTAAAAAAAAATCAATAGACCATATAAATGTGAGTGTATTTCTGCTTCTCTATTCTGTTTCATTGATCTGTTTATTTATTCTTACAGCACATTGTTTTGGTTACTGTCACTTTATTTATTTATTTATTTTTTAGTTTTAGATGGACACAATATCTTTATTTTTATGTGGGGCTGAGAATCGAACCCAGTGCCTCATGCATGTTAGGCGATCGCGCTACCACTTGAGCCACATTCCCAGCCCGTACTGTCACTTTATAATGAGTCTTAAAATGAGATAATGTAACTCCCTCACCTTTTTACTACTATATCAAGAATTTCCCAACAGTTCATTGATGTATAGAAATACAGTTGAATTTTGTATATTTCCTTTGTATCTTAAAAAAAAATGATGCCTTTTATTCTTTTTCTTTTTTGATACTGGGTATTGACCTAGGGGCATTTAACCACTGAGCCACATCCCTGGCCCTTTTAATTTTTTTATTTTGAAACAAGGTCTTGCTAAGTTGCTTAGGGTCTTGCTAAGTTGCTGAGGCTGGCTTTGAACTTGTGATTCTCCTGCCTCAGGCTCCCAAGCAGCTGGGATTGCAGGTGTGTGCCACCAGTCTGGGCCTTTTTTATTCTTAATTAATTTTATTATGATATAATTCACATGATACAATTCACCCATTTAATATGTACCTTTCAATGGTTTTTACAATATCTACAGATACATGTAACCATCACAATGGACATCTTGCAAATTTGCCAAATTTTCTTTTTAGTTCTAGTAGCTTTTTTGTTTTTAGATTTATTAGGATTTTTTGGTAGTGTGCAAAACTTGCACCTGCTAGGCAAGTGCTCTACACTGCACTATGTCCTCAGCTCCTTCTTTGAAAATTTTTATGCACATAACCATGATATATATGAATAGCATAATTTTTCTTCTTTCTTTTTGGCATTGGGAATTGAACCAGGGGTAATCTACCACTGAGCTACTTCCACCCCTTTTTATTTTTTATTTTGAGACAGGGTCTCACTAAGTTTTTTAGGGCCTTCCTAAGTTGCTGAGGCTGGCCTTGGATTTGCAGTGCTCCTGTCTCAGCCTCTTGAGTTGCTGGTGTGTGCCCCGGGGCTCAGCACAATTTTATTTCTTTAAGACATTACATTTCATTCTCTTGCTTGATTACACTGGTCAGTACTTTTAGTATATTGTTAAAGAGAAGTGATAAGAACAGATCTTCTTATATTTTATTTTCCCATCTTTATTTTTGAAGGATGTTTACTCTGGGTATCAAATTTTAGATTGGCTTTTATTTTCTTTCTTCTTCTTTAGCACTTTACAATATCATTCCATTTTCTTTTGCTTCCATTTGTTTCTGATGACAAGTCATCTATCATTTTTATTATTATTCCTTAAATGTAATGTGGCCTTTTTCTCTGCTTTTGAGTTTACAATTTTCTTTTAATCCTTGGTTTTCATCAATTTGACTATGTTGTGCCTATATGTGATTATTACATTCATGGGTTTAGAGCTTGGATTCCAATGCAGAGTTAAGGTCTTTAGGAGGTGTTTGAATCATGAGGTCAAATCAAATCTGACCTTGTGAATGCTTGAACTGAGCTATATCCCCAGCCCTTTTCTCACTTTATTTTTGCTTCCTGACTACCACAAGGTAATCTGCTTTGCTCCACCACATGCTCCCAGCCATGATGTTCTGCTTTTCACACTCAGAAGCAATAGAGCCATTTGATCATGGACTAAAACCTCTGCCACTATGAGCCATAATAAATCTTTTCATCTATTTATTTATCTATTAGTTTATTTTAGATTATAAAAACTTCCACTTTAATCAAGGCTTTTAATGTGGAACAGATTTATCAATTAAAATGGAAAGTTTCCAATACAATGAAACAAAAGTCCATAGGTCACCATACATACAACACCCAGCAGGAAAAAACAAAACAGCAAGTTTACACAATCCCTATAACGGTCTGATTCTCAGATGTTCCATCCATCTGCCAAGTGTGTTCTGCTGGATACAAAGCACACTGTGGCTAAGGCTGTGGGCCACAAAGCACTCATCTGGTCCGGCAGTGGTGGCTCTATTCCACAAACAAAGCCATTATCAGCACATTCAAACAGTGTATTGAGCATCTTTTAAATATAAAAGTAGAAAACAAGAAGGCAACATGATCATGTTATCAGAAAGATATCAGAAAGTTAGGGCAGCTATGTAAAGCTGGAGGCTTCATTTCTTTGGCTTCTTGGGTAGTGGCTGCCAAAATAGCAAGATATGAAGTTCTGGTTCATGGATCATATAATGAACCCATCCCTGACACCAAGATTCTTCCATTCACATTCAGTGGGTTTTAGGGACCAGTTTGGCTCTGTCCTTGGGCAACATGACATGCCAGTACTTGAACTCCTTGTTGTCATATTTGTCTGAATAGTAAATTTATTTGTGTGACATAATTGCTCTGCCTGCAGGCCTCCAGCACCATGCTGCCAACCTCTCCAGAAGCATGACAGATCTTTCCTTTTAGGTTGATTTTCTCAGGTATTTTGTCTTGGGAGTGAAAAGCTGACTAGCACAAGATTGCATAATTTTTTGATTTGCCTTGAGGTTTTATAATCCAGTATTTTGTACATTATATTTTTCAATGTTAGAATTTCCATGTAGTTCTTTTGTTCCATTTTCTGGAGCTTCCATTTGTTTGCCAATATCCTTCATCTTTTTAGTTATATTGTCCACTTTTCTCTTTAAATTCTTTATTTTTAAGTTTTAGGGTTTTTACTTAGTTCTTTTGTTATTTTAAAAAAGAGTTTCCATTTGTTTGCCTGTAATAGCTTGTTACTATAATGAATTAGCTGATGCAGAATAACTTTTTAAAGAAAAGAGATTTATTTAGCTCAGTCTGGAGGCTCAGAGGCACGGTGCTGATATCAGCTTACTTCTGGTGAGCATTTCATGGAGGATGGCAGGAACATGTATGAAAGGGGGAGATCATATCACTGAACAGGAAGTTAAAGAGCAAGTCAGGGGTCAGCCTCACTCTTATAACAACTTCCTCTTGAGAGAATTTCAGTCCAGGAAACAACATTCCCTTCCAAGGGCAGTGACCCCAAGGACCTGAGGAGCTCCCTGTAGTCCTCACCTCTTAAAGATCTCCCATTGCCTCTGTAGGGGCCAACTTCTGATGCACAAGTATTAAGGGACAAACCATATCCAAACCACAGCATCATCAGAATCTTACATCTTTTCTTTCATTTTTTCCACCTTTTCCTCTAAAATATTTATCCATTTCATCCATATTTATATCATATTAGATATTTTAAAGTCCTTGTCTGCTAATTTGAACATATGAGTCATCTGTAAGTCTGCTTCTATTAATTTTTTTCCCTTTTGGTTACAAGTCACAGTCTTTTCCCAGCTTCTTCATGTGTCTCATTTTTAAAAAATATATGCCAAACACTGGATAAATGTATTAGAGACTGAGCTAGGCCATTTTTCCATTAAACAGGAGTTCAGTTAGATTGGGACTGAGTTGTCACTACCTAGTTTTCATTCATCTCGGTTTCAAGTGTCTTGAGGGTGGGATTAGACCCTTTGGTTCCAGCATAAGTATGGAATCACTGCACTGTTAGACTGGAGATCTTGCTTTGCCTGCCAGATCAGTCTCCAGTTCCCTGTACTATTGCTGATGGAGTACAAGTCCCAAGGAGAATATGATGGTTGCAGATTCTGGTTAGTCTAGCAGCTCATGAGCAGTCATTGAATGTTCAACTGATTTCTTCTAAACCCCACAACATTACTCTGCATTTGGAAGGCTCACAGCTCTCTGTCCCTGGGTCCAGAGTTTTGGTAAATAACCACAGTCATGAACTAGAAAAGGATTGAAATTGAGTTTATGTAGACTTTTTGTATCTATTTTTCTTTGACAACTTAAAGAAAATTGCTATTTTTCTTTTTTAGTTCATCCAGTGTTTTCATATTGTTATAGTTACTGACCAAGTTATAGTCTCTGTGGCCCTCTACTTCCTAACTGGTGGTAAAATTCTTGATATTCTCATGAAGTAGCATTTCTTCCTCCTTTCTGGGGGAAGAAACTATAGGAAGTGGGACCTAGCTAAAGGGAATGGGTCCCTGGGACATGTTCTTGGGGTCTATATACTGTCCCTGGCCCCTTTCTGTTTCCTAGCTGCCATAAGTTAATTGGTTTTTATTTGCCATGCTCTTCTGCCATGTTGTACTGCGTCACCACCGGCCCAGAAACAATGGAACCAGCCAGCATGAACTGAAATGTCTGAAACTGTGAGTCAAAACAAATCTTTCCTCCTCTAGGTTAATTTTTCCAGGTACTTTGTCACAGTAATGAAAAACTAACACAGTAATCATTGGTAACACTCTTGTGTATTGTACCTTTCTCCTTTATATTCATTTTCAAATCATGTAAATGGGATCATAGTGATCTTTAATTTTTCACTTATATATACATCTTGGATATAATTCCTCATCAGTAATAATAGATCAACTCATTATTTTTAATATACAGTATTCTAAGACATAAACAGATTATAAATCACCAAAGTAGCCCCCGACTGGTGGATATTTAAGTTTTTCAATTACATGTTATTACCAATAACTGACTATCTATATGTTTGTGTATCGATGGGCTAATATTTGTGCTGCCTTGGCTTTAAAGCCGGGCTTTGGCCATTTATGGTTAAAAAAAAAAGGCAGCCCTTTTGTCTTTTCCTTGGCGAGGGCTCAACTGTTGGATTCATCTGGTGTAGAGTCATAGCAGCCCTTATGACAGCATGGATCTCCCTCCTCAACGCTCTCTGCCTATGCCGTGGCTAGAGGAATTCAGACCCGAGGGGGATTTGAACCATCTACACCCAATCCCTGTGTGATCAGTGGTGAATACAAGAAAGCCAGATACACTAGGCTTTTTAAGGATGCCCCCATAGATATTTCAGGTTGCAGGGACCCTCTGACATCTGAAGACTCTGGGAAACTCTGGGGATGTGTGGGCTGTTGAATGGAGAGAGAGGGATGACAGCCTTACTCTTACTTTTCTCCTAACTGCTGATTGCAGGAGGAGGAGGAGCAGCCTGAAGATAAAGATGAAAATCCCTTATTATCAGAGAACCCATCAGAGGTAGAGGTAGGGGGAGCCCTGCCTTAAGTGTCACTGATCCTTGGGTCCTAATGCTTGTGCCTAATGTCTTTTGCATGGTCCTAAGCCAAGAGGAATAAACTCATTCTTGTTTATCCTTTTCCCCTGTTTCCTTTTCAGACTGATATTTTGGCTGAGACACAGAAAACGGACGATACTGAAGTAAGTCATACTTAATATTAAGTATGACTTCTCAGACCATTAGTGGGCTGGGGCTGGGGCTGGGGCTGTTGTGTTTATGAAATGGAATGACCAAGATGTGAAAAGCTTGGCTTTGTTAGAATTGTGTGTATGTGTGTGTGTGTGTGTGTGTGTTGAACTAATTCAAACTATGAAAGTCAAGAGAAGTGAAGATGGGGGAAGAGATGAGAGGTTGATATTTCTGGGTTGGATAAAACTTTTTTTTTTTTTTTTTGGTACCAGGGATAGAACTCATTTTATATTTTAGCCCATTTTATATTTTATTTAGAGACAGGGTCTTGCTGAATTGCTTAGGGACTTGCTAAGTTTCGGAGGCTGGCTTTGAACTCATGATCCTCCTGCCTCAACCTACTGAGCAGCTGGGATTACAGGTGTGCACCATCACATGTGGCTGGGTAAAACTTCTAATACCCGGACTTGACAGGGAGGGAGTAGTTTGTAAAATGAGGTAGAGTCAAGAATGAGGGCAGGATGACTTAAGGATGCCACTCCCCCCAGCAGTTGGTGGGAGGGTCTGAAGGGATATGGGTCTTGGTTAGGTAGTGGGTAGGCTCGGGCAGATTATGGTAGTCTTTTGACTCATAGAGTTTTGCTGTAGCCTGGCTAACCTGATCTATGGGAAAACTGATTGCCAGGGAAGGTGTATTCCCATTTTACAGACTGAGACTAGGACTCAAAGGGCAAGGTGATATGATTGTAACCATTAAGCAGAAGGTGACAGAGGCAGGTCACTGACCTGCTCTTCTTGTTCCAGCCAATTTTAGAAGGGTTTCTAGGGACTCAGAATCTTTCCTGGAACACCTTAGACTGAAATGGGTGGGGAACATTCTCTGAATGTCTCCTCTTTTTTTCTTGAAAGGCTCCAGTGATCCAGGATGAGATCTCCGAAGAAGATAAGGCAGTTATAAAGATCCAGTCTTGGTGGCGGGGCACACTGGTGCGTAGGACACTGCTACACGCTGCCCTCAGGGCCTGGGTCATTCAGTGCTGGTGGAGGCTGATACAAGCAAAATTTGCAGAGAAGAGGCGCCGGGTGACACTTGATAGATTTTCACGGGAGGAGTGGGCAGCAGTCAGACTGCAGTCCTGGGCCCGCATGTGGCGCATCCGTCAGCTCTACTGCCAGGTGCTCAATGCTGTTCGTATCATCCAGGCCTACTGGAGGTGCCACACCTGTGCTTCCCGGGGTCTCATTAAAGGCCAATACCGAGTCACAGCCAGCCAGCTGCATCTCGAGTTGGAGATCCTGCTGGGCTCAGGGCCCTGTGTTGTGACAGAGTGTATTCCCCTCCCAATAAAGCAGTGAAGTGATCTTCCAAATACTTCCTTTGTTTGACAAACTGCGGAAGGACATGGTAGATGATGAGAGATACTTGACATCAAATATGTTAGTGCTAAAGAATTGAGGGGTTATCTGAAGCTCTGTGTAGAGAAGGGTCTGAGCTCCTTGTCTAGACTGAGCAGACTATAATTGATTAGCAATGGCTCCAAAGGTAGGAAAGTAGAAAGTAGAAATTCAGGGTGGGGGTCATGGCAATGGCAGTATATTTGCCAGGAATTTCACCCAGTGGGCCTAGTTGCTCAGGGCTTGTTCCTTATCACCATGATTAAGAAGAGCCCACCCACCACAAGCCCATAATCTTGTCTCCCTGCACAACTGGGGTTGTTTCCCTGAGGACAGCTTGTAAGAATCTGAGACCCAAACAGGAAGCTGTTAGAGAGCCCAATCAAATTCTCATATTCATTCTCTTTCTCCTCTCTCTCTCTCTCTCTCTCTCTCTCTCTCTCTCTCTCTCTCTCTCGTTTTTTGGTGGTGCTGGGGATTGAACCTAGAGCCTTGTGCGTATAAGATAAGCACTTCAACAACTGAGCTATACCCCCAGCCCCTCAAATTCTCATTCCCACCTTAAACATCATGTGTCCCTTACCCTTCAGCCCAGATGGAGGCCAGGATTCATTTTCCTCCACCCCTGGCCAGTGTGAGAGGTCTCACAGCATGGGGATGGGGGAGATGGCATTCTACTGCCAGCCCTACCCTCAGGTGAGTGTCACACCCCAAGCTATCACAGACCCTGGAGCTGAGGAAGCCTTAGCTTTGTCTTGTCTCTGTACAGGATGATCCAGGTAGAACTGAAAGTCCCTTCCTGTGACATGCTGCTACTTGGGAGTGGAAATGGGGCTAGTTGGTAATAAAAGGCCAATTAAGAGGTTAAAGCCAGTCTGCCCCTCTTCTTGCCTGGATACTGCTATCTCACAGGTCCCTGCAGAGAGGGAGGAGTCTGAGGTCTGAGTTGTTTGCTTCAAAGAAGAGTCCTTTCCTTCAGAGCTCTATATCCAGCCCTGCTCTATTGACTCTGCCCTGGTGACCTGATCTTGTAGCTCACAGAGGTTGTGAGACAATGCCCAGGGCTCTCAGGCTCCAACTCTCTGTCTTGTACTTAGGTATTAACTCTTAGTTTTCTGTTCTTTTGCCTCAGTGCCTGGGTCTCTCTCACTCTCTCTCTGAAGGATTTCTGTCACTCTCTGATCTAGGTCAGGTCCCTAGCTCTGTCTGTCACTGCCATGTGGCTATGGACAAATTGATTCCTTTCTCTAAGTCTCAGTTTCATGAGTTGTGAAGCAGAGCTAATGACCCCCACCTTTTAGGATAAATGTCAAATACTGTGATACCTCATTGTTCTGCTGTTCTTTAAAACATGAAGTTGTACACCTTAAATATGATTGTGTGTGTATATATATATATATATATATTTTTTTTAAAATTTATTTTTTAGTTGTAGTTGGACACAATATCTTTATTTTTATTTATTTTTATGTGGTGCTGAGGATCAAACCCAGGGCTCTGCACATGCTAGGCGAGCACTCTACCACTGAGCCACAACCCAGCCCCAAGTCACAACCCAGCCCCTGTATTTATATATTTTTAACATGTCAATTAAAACTCAATAAAGCTAAAAAAAAATCAGCATCATCCACAAAACAGACATAGACTTTAAATGCTGGTGGACATGGAAAAAGCAAATTCTGGGGTTGGCTGGAATGATCCACAAAACTCTTACAGGTGATCTACTCCTGCTCCCAGACCCTCTCAGTGGGCAGGGCTGGGGAGTATATGTTTGCATATACGCACAAACAATACTCACATCACTGTTTATTTCTATATCTATGTTGGAATCTGTGAGTTCACTTTGAGACCTTCAATCCCAATCTAAACTCACTGAGTTCATTCTAGTTTTCTCCTTTCCATATTCTTCCCTCCTTGCTTTTTTTTGATACTGGGAATTGAACTCTCAGGGGTGCTTTACCACAGAGTTACATCCATCCTCAGCCCTTTCTATTTTTTTATTTTGAGATAGGGTCTTGCTGAGTTGCCCAGGCTGGCCTCATACTTGCAATCCTCCTACCTCGACCTCCCAAATTGCTGGGATTACAGGCATGTGCCACTGAACCTCTCTTAATTTTCTTATTTGATCTTCCTTACAGTTAGCTAATTTTCCATGGTTTCTGCTGATCTCTTTTCTGTACAAACACTTTCTCTACCTTGCTTGGGTTCTGATACCTCAGTGGATGATTGTTCTCTTCATGCGGTTCTGTCCCCTCATTGTTCTGCTACTCTGTGGAGATGCCCCTCTCGCCCAACTAAAGCTGACAGGAAATGTCAGGACACTCTCTATGTATCAATTCTCTGTATAGTGCTCAAGTTCTGACTTAACTATGAGACAAGGCTGCCTTCCTCATCCTATGGGATATGATACACATTATTGATATGACCTCAGACCCCTGTGTGGACTCCTCTTTCTGCCTGGTTCTCTCCCTCTCACACCAATGCCTTGGGCACCTTTCTTGGCATCCTCACTGGCTCTGTGCCATGGCTGTTCTCTCCTCTCCAGGTACATTTACATTGCACTCTGCAACCTTAAGACTTTTAGACTGAATTGTTCAGGAAGGCAAAGGAAAAAAGAAAGAGAGAGAGAAGAGAAGAGAAGAGAAGAGAAGTGAAGAGACGAGACGAGACAGGACAAGAGAAAACAAAAATTCTAATTAAAAAGCAGAGACAGGGCTGGGGTTGTGGCTCAGTGGTATAGTGCTTGCCTAGCATGTGTGAGGCACTGGGTTCGATTCTCAGCTCCACATATAACTAAATGAAATAAAGGTCCATTGACAAAACTGAGAAAAAAAATCAGAGACAAAACATCTGCAGAAGAAAATGCTCAGTCACTGGCTAAAATTTGTTTAGGTTTTTCATCCCAAACCTGAAGGAAACATAACCACACAGAAAACTCAAAAAACATCCAAGAGAAAATGGATCCAAATGTTTAAGCACAGGTTCAGGACTTCCTTTCCTTCTATGAATTCATAGGAACAACAGAAAAATAATATATTAATTCCAAAATCTCTAATTGTACCTAAATAGGAAGGGGATAATCAGTAGATAGAAATTATGTGAAATCTCTAAAAGAAGACATATGTGAAAAGACTGGAAGAAAGTAAGTTCTAAAAAAGGTCTTGGGCAAAAAGGAAAGAGTGGGCTACATAGGCTGTCCAAGCAGCTGGCTTTGGTTGCTGCAGGGGCTGGTTGCAATGTACTAACCAACTCTCCAGGACACCAGGCAGCTGGCAAGAGAGGGCTTGTGTCCAGGTGGCCCTCTCTTGCGAGTGTGCTGAGGAGGAGTGGCAGGGCCTTGTGTCATGTGGTAACCTTACCCAGGAGACTGATATATCACCGTGAGCCTGCCCCAAACCTCCCTTGTAATCCTCAGAGTCAGGGACATGGCAGTTATCAACCAGCTATGGGGAAGTCAAAATACAAAGAGGGACTTCCAAACAAGAACCATCAAACTTTGGAAAGCAACAGCATGAAAAAAACCATCCCTCAACCCCATAAGCAGAAACACAATGGCCAAGGGAAAGTCTTAAGAAAGGTTTAAAGAGTGAATTTAATATGCTCAGTGGACAGAGGAAAACATCTTAAGTATGAAAAAAGCAAACCATTATTTATGGACCTTAGGAAAAATGCTTGTCAAAATTAACAGATGGGATGAGTAGCAAAAAGGACATCTAAAGTGCAGATTAGTGAGCGCAATGTTTGACATGAAGAATAATCCTGGATTGCAGCACAACAGGGCAAAGAAATGAAAAGGTTAGAGAAAATAAGCAGTGATCCAGAAGTTTCTGTCATGGTTGATTGTGTGTCCCTGAGAAAGAAAGTACAGAAATGAATGGCAGCAACATTACAGCATGAATGACTCCCAGAGCTTATAGGAACTCACTTGCCCTCAAAAGGTGAAAGAAAACAGATGGAGAGCCACAGAGGTTGCAGCACAGTGTCATTACTGAGGAATATAAAACACTCCAAAAGTTAAAGAGGAGGAGAAAGCAACAAATTACCAAGTAGGGAATAAGTTTCAGATTGATGTCTGCTCTCAGCAGCAACATGGGATCCAAGGAGAGAGTGAAGCAACACCCTCATGCTCTGAGAGAAAATATATTTAAACATCGAGTGATATGCTATCTCAAATGCCATTCAAGCACAAAAGCAGAGTAGAAGACATTTTTATTAATTTAGAGACTTCTTTATTAATTCACAGTTTGGTCCGTAACTGTCAGCTCCTTCAGGGGTCACTTGGGTGGCAGAGAGCCTGCCTTGTCTGAGGTCAAAGCCCTTCCATATGCCAATTACAGTGATTGATCCAGGTGAACAGAGACCTGGGAATTGAACTCTGGTTGGAGCAATTCTGCTGGGTCATTTCATCCTCATAGCTTCGTATGGTACCTGCTAAGCTTAGTAAGGGAATATGATGAACAACCATACAGCCATTGATTTGATGAAATGCATCAATTCCTCGAAAACCAAAAACTACCAAACACTTATCCAAGATGAAACAGATAACCTGAGTTATACTACAGCCATTAAAAAAACTGAATTTAAGCTGAGCATGGTGGCATATCTGATACCAAGACCAGACGAATATAGTGTTACAATAGAAAATTATGGACCAGTGTGCCTCATGAACGTAGAAGCAAACAAAACAAAACAAAACGAACAACAAATTATCATCAGATCCAACTTTGCAACATATCCGAAAGTATCTCTCTCACACACCCCATGAATGGGGAATTATTTCAGATATACAGTGGGGTATGATGATCTAGACCCTTATCCCTGGGGAATCTCATTCCCTGGTTGCGCTTCTTAGACCATGACTACCATATGGGTTCATCTAACATTATAATTGAGGGTAAGGCACCAAGAGATCGTCCAGTGACTCACTCAAAGGGTATTATCTGCCCCCATAGTATAGCCCACCCCATCCTAATAA